TTACTACTCTTATGGGTATTCATATGAGAAGTGAATTTAATTTTTTAAGTTTCAAAAGTGATTTACAGTATCCCTTTCTCCGGCGTATAAATTATTTCATTAAATAGTAGTGGAATCTAAAGAAAGGCAAAATAACAAAAAAAAGTTGTGCACTATTTTTGCTGATACTTTAAGAGTTTAGTCATTTACTGTGGGATAGTATTGTAAGTGTGAGTGAGAGACACGGAATTGGTATTTTAAATTAAAAGTGCAATGAGATTCAATTAAAGGAAAAAACATTTTTTCACTCTCTCTCTCTCTCTCTCTCGCTCTCGCTCTCTCTCTCTCGCTCTCTCTCTCGCTCTCTCTCCCTCTCTCTTTAAATATATTGATTAAACACTTGCTTATAGTGTAGACACCAATGCAATCGTACAGATAAGAGTAGTGTAGAGACAATATTACGGAATATTCTGCAGACTATTTGTGTGCAAATGTAGAGACGTTTCTAATGCTATCGTAATTAAGTTTTGTTTTCTCGCTTGTAATCAATATGTGATGTGTTGTGTCGTGAATAAGTAAAGCGAAACATAAATTTCTATAAATATATTAGTAATGAATGAGTGATAAAGTAGTCATTCCTGTGTCGGATGCCTCCCATTGATTACGATTGTGAAAACACAAGTCTCGCGTAAATCGATTCCTGTGTGCCCTCTAATCAAATGAAATATTTTATTGAAACATAAATAAGTCTATTATTGGATTACAACAAACATTGTTGTTGTCAATGGCTTTCCAAACGCTATGTAATATAAAGTTTTTGAAAATGATTGCCAATTGAATTTGCACTCAGAATACTGATTAACACCACCGCCCGCTAATACAATAATAAAGTTTTTCCATGATTTATATTTTATTTAAGTGTAACATAATTTCCAAACTGAATTAAGATTATTTTTGTTTAAACAAAGCATATATCAAATCCATTAATTTTGGTGTAAGTATCTAATTAGGAGCCGAGAATGTTTTGTATAAATAAATTCTTGTTTTCGTAGAAATACTTAATGAATTTTAGACAATACAATGTATATTCAATCACATGGCATTTAAGCCATGCTTAAGGTATAATAGCTAAAGCCATGCTATTATAGGAATCAATACTAAATTGAGTCAAATTAAATTCCAAGAATCGTATCACAAGAATATCGTACAAACAATAATCCACTTTTAAAAATTTGCGGACAAAATAACAAGAATTTGCCACAAATGTTGTTTTAGTGTTATTTTTAGTTTTTATTTAGTTTTCAGTGTTTTTTCGAGAGTAAAGACAAATCTTTTTAAAGTTTTATAACTTTATATCACAAAAAACTTTTTATTTCGAAATTTAATTTTCCACTATTTTCTCGCTGCAGATGAGGATTGGCATACATTCAGGTGCCTGTATGGCCGGCATCGTAGGTAAGCCTTAAAGCAATAGCAACAGTATATTTCATACGAGAAAAATAAATGAAAACTATTTTTCCATTTTTTTCCATTTAATTCCGTTATCGCGAAATCCAGGCCTTCAAATGCCGAGGTATGTGCTGTAGTGGACAGTTAGTCCGCTTTCTCTCTCACTCCACTCACTGTCGGATTTACTATTGATTGCAAATCCCTTTCCACAAAAAATACGATAAATTGTCCGCAAATATCATATTTTTGACACTTTCTGGAGAATTGGAGAGAGAAATCAAAATATAAAAAGAGAGAAAATATTATAAGAATTGTGTTTTGATTTTGATTTCATGTTTTCTGCCTACAGATACTGTTTGTTTGGCAACACAGTGACCCTGGCTAATAAGATGGAGAGCAATAGTAAGCCGGGTCAGGTGCACATCAGCGATGAGACTAAAAGGTATAATACATATGTTTTTCGCACATTTACAGTATCTGTCGGGAGATAATTGTTTCAATGGTATCTGTGCTGATAATTCATGTGAACTAATCGCACAACCATTTCAGACAATAGTCTCAGTGATATAAAGATGTCTATAAAGCAAACTTTTAATGTTATTATGATTTTGAACTGAAAGCTAATGCAGTGAAACACATTCGTAATGACAATAGAGAAATAAAGTTATGAAATAATAAAACAGAAAATACTAATAGATTTTTGTCTTAAGCTTTTCGTATTTACTTTTTTCACTTGAGTTTAATTTTGTTTTGTTGACAAAAATTCTTGTTAAAAAATATTTTTTACAATTTTTTGATTATTTTTCAACCATAAATCGATATCCGAAAACATGTTTCAAGTAAAAAATTATATCAGAAATAACCAAAAAAGCGAAATAAAAGTAAAGCCTATAATTTGTGTGAAACCCTAAGAATAGATTTCTTTTATAACTTAAATAATATAAGTATTTGTGAGCTTAAGATGTTTTGTATGTTTGAGAGACTTGAGACCAAATATATATTTTATTGTTTTTCGGGTAATAATATTTTTGGGGTTTTATTTTAAAGTCTTATAAATCTTGAGACGGCAGAGAGAGAGAGAGAGAGAGAGAGAGAGAGAGAG